CTTGTATTAGACAAACCTAAAATTTACCGTGTAGAATAATTAGGAGTTGGTGATTCATTTTATGACTGTTAAAATGGTATTATAATTTTACTTACATCTGGTATGAGAAACCAAAGATGGAAATAAGGACCTAAATGTATAATAGACATTGGGAAATGGGAAGAAAATGTTCAAACAAGAAGGGGAACAAGAGAGAGGGGGGATGGAAAGGAAAGAAGGGATAAGAAAAAAGAGGTATTTTTGTTTTTGTTTTGTTTTGTTTTTTGGTACTGGAGATTGAACTCGGGTCCTCGCACTTGCAAAGCAGGTGGCCAAACCACTGAGCTAAATCCCCGGCCCCAAGAAAAAAGAATAGGAGGAAAAAACAGAAACAAAGCTTTTGTAAATAAGGAAGGAAGAGGGGTTGAAAGGAGGGGAGAGTAATGAGAAAAAAAGAAGCAAGATGTATCATGTACAGGTACAAATTCCCTATGATAAATGTTATCATTATGTATATCTAAAATATACCAATAGATGTTTTGCTTCAAAAAAAAATTTGATTTCTAAACTTTCATTTATAAAATTTTTTTATGGGCAAGTTTTTTCATAGGTTATAAATCACAGAATGAAAATAATCATAATCATACTGACATCTAATTGATGTGTCTTTTGAATTTAAGGTATGTCTTTTTCTGGTATTTGCTATCAGTGATATGAGCTTCTCAAGATCTCTCATTAAGCAGAGAGGCCATTTCCTAGTTTAGAAAATATCACTATGCTGATTTGAGATCTGGAAAAGCACTCCCCGGGGATAGAAGAAACTTGGAGAATATGGTATAAGAGTCTTTTCCATCTCCAGAGCAAATGACCTGGGTAGAGAGTAGAAGAACAGTTTTGGCAACCAGTGTCCTTGTCCCTGTCCCCTCAGGAAGACAGAGTAAGTCACACTCTCTGTACCAAGGTTAATGCTGCCTTTAGGTTCTTAGCAAGCAAGGTCTCTACAGTGCAATCTAGGCCACTGGAGTCTCTCTGCCAATGTTTTTCCTGTTCTCCTTATCAATCCTAGTACCAGCACAATTCTGTTTCTCAATTTTATGCTCAGTAACTGAGCTCAGCAAATGTTAAGTGCTTGCTCCAGTGAGGCTGGGCAAAAGTAGCATGCAGACTTTTCAAGCTAACTTATAAACCACTTAAAATCCAAAAGAATTGGTCTAGGCCTGAAATTCACAAATCTATGTTTGTTAACCTATAAATGTTTAACTCTTTAAGCAAGCTGGCAAAGATCTTTGATGATTCAGTCCCACTGGTGAGGGCTACTTCCAAAAAATGTATATTCTCATTGATTCTGTACTTTTAACATGTGTGAAATGTGGGGCCGGGGATTTAGCTCAGAGGTGCTGCCGCCTACTTCACAAGCGCAAGGTCCTGAGTTCGATCTCTGGCACCAAAAAAAAAAATGTGTGAAATGGGGTTGAGGATGTAGCTCAGTGGTAAACCACACACTACGCAAGGTCCTGGGATCAATCTCCAGCAGAAAATGGAAGGAAAGGAAAAGGAAAAAAAGGAAAAAGGAAAGGGGAAAGGAAAGAAAGGAAAGGAAAGGAAAGAGGGAGGGAGTATGAACATATGTGTGGTGAAGGAAGAGTTCCAGGAAAAAACAGATAGGGGTTTGTTGTTATAAGTATACCTCCAAAAAGAGTTGGAGGTATACTTCATTTTGTGCTGCTGAAATAGACTACAACAGACCGAGTAATTTTTAATGAGTGGAAATTTATCTACTCAAATCTGGAGGTTGGGAAATCCAAGAGCATGTCATTGGCATCTGAGTTTAAGGTATAAACCTTAAAGGTGAGGACCTTCCTGGTGCATCATAACATGGCAGAAGGTGGGGGAGGGAGAGAGGATGATGGTGGTGATGATGATGATGATGATGATGATGATGATGAAGGAAGAGAAGAAGGAGGGAGGGAGATGGGAGAAGAGACAAAAGTGTAAGGAAAGACCAAACTTGTCCTTTTATAAGGAACTCACTACCACAATAACACACCTACTTCCTTGATAATAGAATTAATCAATTCATGAGGGCCCACCTCCCAGCAATGCCATACTGGAGGTCAAGTTTCTGTCATATGAACTTCAGCAGACACATACAAACCACAACAGAGAGTGACAGGCACTCCATGTCAAGCCGACATACAAATTTGGCACTATTTATAGATTCACCCAAGAAAACAATAGAATATAAACATAACAACTGTTCTTTGGGTGAAAAAGATATACCCTCCTCTGTGGATTTAACACATTAATATACAGAGGAGCTCTACGGCAGCATCTGCACCCAGTGGAGGACTGAAAATGCTTTGTGGTGATTACTACTGTGAGTAGTTTGATTTGAACTATTATAACAAACAACATGGCAACCCACCACAGCCACAGTGGGATTTCCAATTAAGAGCTAACTGAATAAAGATAAGATTCTATGTATAGAAATCTTCAAAATATATCTCAATAGCTTTTTTATGCAAACTGTAATATTGTTTCTTCACCATCCTTTGGCAATATAGTTGGGGAAGGATACTGATACACAAATTCTTTAGAGTGGAAAAAATTGTCAAAATGAGTGTATGCCTTTTCTCTTTCTGACCACATGTTTCACATGTACTGTCTTCTAACTTCAGCTGCATTAGAAATCCAATGGCCCCTATACTGAGCTGGCAACACATGCTCTACCCTTCACCCTCGTTTCTGTTACCAGTACATCAATAAACAGGGTACTCTGTAGCAGCTTCTTCTGAATGAGAAACCATAGTAATACTTTATTTCCATTAGCTCCATAAAGTGTTTCATTTAAGGTTGATAGAGACAAGAAATTAATTCTGGCCTCCTGAATTCAAGACAGAGGTTTCAAGCTGGTGGTCTATATGTCGTTTGGTCTATAGAAGTATCTTGTTTGGCCCACACAGTGCATGCACCAAATCAACATTACCAGCTTCTGAGAGAGTAATCTGGAATTCATAATCCTGTCTGATAAAAACTGATTGGAAATTAATGCATTTCTAAATGTCCTCAGATCTCTTATGGCTCAGTGTGACACATTTCACTAATTTATAGCAGCACTGGACCTCTAGATACTTGAGAATTTCATTTGGAGAGTAAGAAAAAAACATTAAGGAGAGACTGACACAGATTCCCCAGGTAGAGGGAATGCACCTGTAGGTAACTGACAAAAAAGAAACACAAGGAAATACCTATATGAATAACAGTATATTTATTTTATAGTTAATATATATTTTTGATTAAATAACACACAAATTATAACTACAAGCAAGTGAACAACTTATTATGTTCCATAGGGCCATGGAGGTTTAGCTTTACTAAATGTTTTTCCCCCAAGAAATGAAAGAAATACATAGCTTCCTATGAAATGGACAAAGTTCAAAAACCAATCAACAAAACCTGTACTTTGATTTTTAACTTAACTCATGGTTTAGTAATCTAATAGAGTTCTAGTCACCTATAAAGTGACAATTTTTTATCTTTTAAAGTAAAAAGAGTGATTGATCGGTCATTTATTCATTTAGGGAAATAAATGTTAAGAAAAATTTTATTAGATTAAATCTGTTTCAGAAAATCTCTAAACTTTTCAAAATGAATGAAATTAATGGAAATTCCCTTGATAAGATCTTCACTATAATAATTCAAACAAAAATATAACAGCACAATTAAATATTTCAGACCGTGGAAGAAATATTTTTTCTCTCTTTCACTGATATGGTAAGAAAGAACATCTAATAAAAGGTCAAAGAGCTTTCGTTCTCTATAACCCTTACTGTGTGAACTTTATGTTCTTATCTCCCTTTTCTTTAAGAATAGTGATAATAGGAACTTGCCTCTGTGTGGCATTCACAACCTGCCAACTCTGCCTGTGGATTCTATGCCCTGGTCACAGCCACTCATCACTCTGTGTTTTGTTTCCCCTTGGCATGGGGCAGCAGAGGTGCTGACCGACCAATCAACTTGATAGTGAATGAGGCCAATGCCCCAGGAGAGAAGGTAATCCCTGGAGAGTTGGCAGCTCTAGGGCGAAATAATGAACCTTGCCAGCTGTACTAGATCCAAGAAGACCCATGGCTATTGTAAACTACAAAAACAGTGTAGAGTTTCACTCTGAAAGTGACTCCTTCATGGCAAGCTAGAGTCAGAGAAGAATCCCACAGCAATACCTGCCATATTGCCAGAGAGTATTTAATCATGCAGCTTTTTAGGAAGGGGTTGAGTTTTTAAGACTGAGCCACAGAACAACTCCACTTTAAGGTTTCCAGTGTTACTTTCCCACAGGGACTGGGTGAGAGATAGCTACAGGAGACAGCCACAGAGAAGGTGAGGGTTAGATGCAGACACTAGTTCCAGCCTCTGTAGTGAGATACCAGGCCTGGTAAGTGTGGCTTCTAGAGCAAGCTGGGTCTGAAAGTGCTGGCCTTAAGTTCAGCAGTCTGCCTGAAGCCCTGCTACACTGCCTACATGTCCAGCACAGACTAGAAGTACGATTGCTTTCCCCATCTACCAAGTAAGCAAGGACACATCTTGGTTTGAATGGTTGCCAGTCTGGAGTGTATGGACAGAGGGGCTTCTGGGATAGGGGGTGCGGCACCTCACAAACCCATAGTCCATAAAGCTAGATGGAGAAAACTGTGACTTGCTGGATTCCAAGACTGCATATCCTGGAAAGAAATCACTTATTCAAAGGGACAGAGGAATTTATTTAATTTAATTAATTTATTTATTTGTACTGGGGGGGGATCGAATTCAGGATCTTGCACTTGCCAGGCAAGCACAGCACCACTGACCTACATCCCCAGCCCCCAGAGGAATTTATTTTACTCAATTTTTCTCTTTTCTTCATTTTTTTGAGGGGTGTGGGTACTCTCTCTCTCTCTCTCTCTCTCTCTATCTATCTATCTATCTATCTCCTTGGCTCTATTTAATTCTTTTTTTTCCTTTATTTTGATGTTTTTTCCTTTTTTTTCTTAATCAATACTATTAATTTGATCAATACTATCAGTACTCAACAGGATTCTTTATCTCACTTTTTTCTCCTCCTTCTCATCTTTCACTGATTAATTTTTCAAATTCTACTCTTCATTCTCTAGTTCCCCACCCCTTTTATTCTCACTAGTGTAACCATTAAGCTTTATGACTCTTTAGATAGTTAATTAGCTCTATGCTATTACTGTTGAATACTGTTTTATTGTTAGTGGAGATATACAGTTGTTGCAAGTCGTAGATATTTATGGTGTGTCAATATTTGGTTTGTCTTAGTGTTTAATCAGTAACTATAGATCTCTTTTCTATGGTTAATATTACTGGTTCGTAGGGTATATCAATGTCCAGTTTATCTTTGATGATATTATTATTGCTGATTTTTATTGCTATTGCCAAGGAGGTATAGTTATTGCTGTTAATTGATTTTCTCTGTATGCCAATATCTGGATTGCCTTTGTGTCATTAACAATACTGTCATCCAAGGCATATAGAAACCTACGTAGCCACAATCAGAAAAGAACATCATGACACATTATAGAAAATGCCCAGAGCTAACTGAACAAATACTGTACACTAGGCAGGGTGAGCAGCTAAGTAGGAGAGAAACAATAAGGGAATCAGCAACAGGGAAATTGGGCAATGACAAGAATAAGTCAATACCTTTCAGTAATAACTCTCAGTGTGAATGGTCTCAATTATCTAATCAAAAGACACAGATTAGCAGAATGGATCAAGAAACAAATCCAATAGTATGCTATATACAAAAAACACGTTCAACCCCAAAAAGAAATCTATAGACTAAAAATCAAAGGATGGAAAGCAATATTCCATGCAATAAGAACCCAAAAAACCAGCAGGATTTACTATCCCATTTTCCAATAAAGTAGACTTAAAGCCAAAACCAATCAGAAGAGGCAAAGAAAAGTCACTACATATTGTTTTAAGGAACAGTTCAACAGGATAACAATTATAAACATATATGTATCAAACAGTCACATCCAAATTCATAAAACAAACACTATGGACATAAAAAATTAAAAAAATCAACGCAATTACAGTGGAGAACCTTAATACTCCATCAGCACAATTAGATCAACTAGATAAAAAATTAACGAAGAGTATCAGAGTTGAACCAAAACCTCAGAACAAATGGACTTACTAGACATCTCAGAGTGTTCTACTCAACAACAGAATACACATTTTTTCTCAGCAGCATACGGAACTTTCTCCAAAATAGACCATACACTAGCCCATAAAGCATGCTTAAGTAAATGCAAAAGAAATAAAATTATCCCATGCATATTATCAGATTATAGCACAATGAAACTAGAAATCAATCGCAAAAAAAATCCACAGAAATTATGCAAATGCATGGAAATTAAACAGTATCAATGGATCACAGAAGAAATCCAGGAAGAAATTTGACAGCTCCTAGAATCAAATGATAATGCCAGTATAACATACCAGGACATAAAACTCAATAGTGTTAGTCCTGGTCTGTATTACAGGCATCTACGCTGGGCCCTTGTTATGTTTCTTTCACCATAGATTACAGGAAGGTTGTTACATCTTCCAAGCCCTATGCAGCTCAAAACTCAATTCTTCCTCCTTCCCCACTTGCCGTTATGTTCTTGTTCTTCCTCCCTATTCCAGGCATTTTAATTCATATTCACTTGACAACTTTCACTTTCCTTGGGAAAGCTGCCTTAAGTAATTATCTGAAAAAGAGTAACAACGAGCCAAGGATAAACATTTTTAAACCATGGCAAAATTAACAGAACAACAACTGTTGTTTCAAGCTTTCTCTAGATTATTTATGTAATTCATTCTAGTGGCTTTCAGTGATCACATTTCCCCCCCTAAGTTCTGTTAATGAACCCATAGTAGTATTCTATCACTAATACAGGTCTCAGAGTAAAAAAAAAGTACTAAACAATTGGTATATAAACCACTGGTACATAAACAACCAATGCTGCTGAAATACCCGTTCTCTTTCCTTTTTCTTTTTCATGCTTCATCTGATTTTTTGTTTGCTTGTTCTATTTGTTTGGTTTTTTTGTTTGTTTGGTACCAGGGATCAAACTTACGTCCTTGCGCTTGAGAGGCAGGCGCTGTGCCACTAAACTAAATACCCGGCCTCATCTGTGTTCTTTTTTTAATCACAGCTAAGATAAAAGGTTAGAAATAAAAATGTTATTAGTTATCATAAGCATCTTAGTAATATATTGGCTTTTAAATTTTGCATGTATATTACTTTAGTAAAAATTTTAAGTTTTAGAAAACTGAAGTATAACTATCCAGGACTGTGTTTAGCACTACATGGAAAAATTAATCTCAGCCAGTATACTTCTAGATTTATAATATATGGCAGGGAAACATAAAATGAGCTCAGATAGCTTAAAATAGGCAGTAAGTTATACCAATATATCAAATACTCCAAATAAGTACCATTATATCATACAAATGAGTAAAAATGTAGGATTTCATAAGTGTAGAGTAGGCAGAGGAATATTTGTTTCTGCGTCCTCCTACACAGAAATAACAGTCATCTTCTACTAAATTCCTCCATTATGTGATACATTTACACTTCACATACATTAGCAGTACCCTTCATAAACCTAGGGTAGCTATTACCACCTATATTTCACAAATGAGTAAGAGTGTACCAGAATTTTTATATAAGGCTATCTGACTCCAAGTCCATATTCTTTCCATTATAAAAAATTCACTTTCAATTTAAATTTAGGAAGGAAAATATATGCTTTTTGCTTTTTCTATCTTAACAGTGGCTCATTTTTACCCTTCATCAAGGCTGACATTAGCTTGTGTGTTCTGATGTGACATAAGGACTGAAAGCTGTTCTGATTAATTAAGCATCTGTTCTGCTTGATTGGTGTCCATGCCATACTTATATATTTTGGATATCACACTTGTCGATGGCACAGAACTCTGAGTTTTTAATTAAATATTTATTCAGACACTTGAAATAATAAAAAACAACTTTTATGACATACATATTTCTTTTGTACCTAGAGGTATTCCAGGTCAACTTCTATGCAAAATTTGGCTGGTTCCTCCCTCTAAAGAACAAGCCAAGAATTCCAATTTCAGTAGAAACCTAACCTTTGCCATATTTATATATGCCAAAGCATAGGACACACCTTTAAATCAGCAGTAAAAAATTACTACACTCTAGGTTTTTCCAGAAATTAACCTTGAAATAAATCTACCTTTCTTCTCAAGGCAAGTGTGTAGAATTTGTTATTTGGGCAGCCTAAAGGAAAAATACTATGCTCGCCTTCTTCAGTTCTTACCATCAAATTAAATTACCAGAAAAGAATGTATCTAGACATTAGCTTATGTCCTTAAAATACCTATACAATTTTACACTAAGTTATAATTTGGATTTTATCAAAATTCAATATAAGAAATGACCATACTGGAAAAATAAAGCAATAATATAAATGTTTCAAGGACAAACCTAAATATCATCATAACAAAACTGCTGTTATTTAGTTCTGAGAGCTTTATATGCTGGTTTTATTTATTATCATGCCAAAACCAGTTTGCTCAACCAATATATGGACAATGTTGTACAAGCTCCCTCAACTGGTTAAAATATAGAGCTACCAAAAAACATGTTCCATTAGGTTCACTTTTTCATCTTCTTCAGAAATTTCTGAAACTCCAGCCTGAGATCGAAGAATGGACATGATGTCATTAGATAATTTGTTAAAGCCATTCTGTAAACATATATCTGCCATGTCTTGCCATGTTTCTAGCGAGCAAAATGAATCACTCATCATAAGATGTTCTATTGCATCTGGGGAAAAAAAAGATTACAGTACAACACTTGTCATTTAATAATCCATACTCAGCAGTTCTTCAAAAATATAAAGGGATATAATTTCAACTCAGTTACTCTTAACCTCTACCTGATTCCCATAAGTTTAATGATATAACACGTAAAGCACTTAGTCCAGCTTATGCTAAGTTCTCAAGTGTCTGTTCCTTCTCCTCCTCCTTTATCATTAACTTTTTTTTTTTTGTACCAGGGATCGAACTCAGGTCCTTGCACTTGCACAGCAGGCGGTGAAACCACTGAGCTACATCCCCAGCCCTATCATTAACTTTTCATGTCTCAGTTCAACCCTCTACCATCTTTCACACTTTATACTCCTCTACTCATCTCCCCTTTGGCTCTTTGGTAAAGTAGCAGGTGTTGACGGCTATGAGGCAGGGAGCTAAGAAAGTGAAGGATATGGACTCATCTTATTAACTGAGGCCCTATTGTTCGAGTTTTCATGATCCTACGAACACTTTAAGAAATGCCATAGTAGTGCCATCCCAAGGATTTAAGAAACTCTTAGGAAAACTCTCTACCCTCTAAAATGGAGACCTGTTATGTGGCTTTCATAACAAATATTTTTTCTAAAGAAAGTGAAATAAATTTCCTTTTAAAATAAATCTAATGATATATTTACTTTTGAAAGTCAATTATAGGGACTGTGTTTTGTATCTATAATATTTTATAAGTACTGGTGATTAAAACCAGGGCCTTTGCACTGAGTTACAACCCCAGCATTGCCCAAGCTGGGCTTGAACTTGCAATCCTCCTACCTAAGCCTCCCAGAGTGCTAGGATTACAGGTGTGCAACACTATACCTAGCTTGGAAATAACTTCTTACCTAATACCTATATTACTTATGATGCTTCATACAAGATGATTTATCTTTAGCATACTATCAACACTATTATTTTATTTCCACCATAATTCCTATTTTCTTATAAAATAAGTTGATTGATGTCTTTAACGATAATTTCAAACTATAAAATTACCTCCCAAAATATGGTTTCAAGTAATTTGCCTTTCTTTCCTTGATCCCAGACAATAATTTAAAATCAAGTTTGTCTGTTCTAGCTACAATGTTAAATTAATGAAAGGGGGAAAAATAAAATTTAATTTGTTAATCTAGATTCCACTGCAGATTTAGGTTCAGAGGGAGTATCATATATAAGTATGCATAAGTTTGGTTTAAAAATTTAAAAATATAAAGCTTATATCTAAGTAACTTTTAAAATGCATATAAAAGATGGCTAGGCCGGGATATAGTTCAGTGGCACTGTGCCTGCCTGGCAAGTGCAAGGTCCTGAGTTCAATTCATGGTACTGGAAAAAAAAAGATGGCTAAATATACACATGTTAATATATGTTAAGTTTTAGGATAGTGTTATTAAAATTATTATGACATTCCGATCAAGTTTAATAAAGATGTTTTCCTCATTTTGATTCCCTCAAGAAATATATACTAATATCGGGAGACTATTACTGACATAGTGATCTTTACATTTATATATTCCTGAAGTTGACTGTTGTTACGAAGAAATTCTAAAAAATTTTGAGTTAACTCATACATAATCATTATAAAACTTCCCCTGAATAACTCACTGTTTCTTTCAGAACATTTTACTTACCTTTCCCACCTTTATTTATTTCTTTAAGTAGTTTAATGCCAACTTCTTCCATATTTCCAGAGAACAGATGAAGTATAATAAGCCCAAAAGATAAAAATGGTGGTTTCCCATTGCTTTCTTTAGTGAGAGAATGAATTAGTTCAGCTTGGGGACATAATGTTATTAGCTGCATCAGGTCACCTGAAAACAAAAACAAAAAACTGTATCTCAACTTCATATGATAAATCAACTACAAGTGGACCAGCTAAGTCTGTATGGGCCAATCAACACTTCTTTTTCCAATCCTTCCACCCCTCAATGACACACTCCAACCCAACTCAACAGTACTATCCCCAATTTAAATATACACACAAAATACAGAGAGATTCCTCATTTAATGACTGGGTCCCATTTCTGCGACTAGGTTGCTAAATGAATTGGTTGCTAAATGAGGATTTGTATATAACATGTACATTACAATATTCCGAACAAAGAAATGGTCAAAAGAAACTCCAATTTGATGATTTTGCTTTTATTTGCATAACTCTTACATGCAGTACTTTAATGTATAACAGAACATAGAACTAAAGCACTGTACAGTACAATCAGCAAAAATTACAGTACTGTATAAAAAAGGTGTACTGTACCAAAGAAAAAGACATTGAGGCTCTATAAACAAGAAGTACAGAACTGTACAAAAGAAAAAAAAAAATGAAGCCAAGCATAGTAATGCATGCCTTTAATCCCAGCACTCGGGAGGCTAGGCAGGAGGATAACTTAACTGTGAGATAAAAACTAACCTGAAAAAAAAAAAAGACTAACCTGGACTACATAATGATTTCAAGGCCAGCCTGCACTACAAAGTGAGACCCTGTCTCAAAACATCAAAAAAAAAAAAAAAAGGAAGGTTGGTTAAGTTTGAGTGGTGGGTCATAAGTCTGAACAGTCATTAAACAGGTAGGATGTTAAATAAGGAAAATATTTAATATTCAGCATAGCAAAACAAAACAAAAACTACCCATAATAAAGAGTATCAGGGAAAAAAAATCAAATGACTACCAGAAGTATGATATAATAAAAGCATATAGACTGGAAATCAGCAAAGTTAAGTACTAATAAACTTCCATCAATCACTCTTTTTATGACTAAAGAGTGCTAGAATTAGCTAAAATTTCTAAAATTCCACTTAACACTACATTGTTTGTCTATATTTTATTGTTCATATTTGTACCAACTTCTAGGTGAGTATGTCTTTCTTTCTGTGCATTGCATAGAAAAAAACAACTTGGATTTTTGCCCCTAGGAATATTAAGTATTTAGAAATTAAAAATGACCATCTTCAGAAGCCATGAGAAGCCAATAGCTAGAAGCTAAGAGCTAGAGATTAGCTAGATAATGCTAGAGATTGAGTATTTGCCAATGGCTAATGATTGAGCCAATAGCTGATGATATGAAGTTGCCTGCATTTTACTATTTCTAACCCAAAAAGAATAACTATATGTGGTTTAATATGCTAGGGATAATCTTAAGCTATAATTATGATTTGTATTTTTAAATTTACAAACTCCATGTTAACTTCTAAAATATTTCAAAGTAAAAGTATACTTTTTAGGGCATAATAGAGGTAATATTTATAATTTCTGAGTGCCTTTTAAGAACTACCATAAAAAAAGAACTACCATAAATAATTGGCACTTTAAAAGGTAATACAAGGTAATCTGGTGTTTATTAAACAATATCTAACAGGATAGCAACAAACATTAATTCACTGCATCTCATGAAAGCAACAAACATACTAATTTACTGCATCTACTACTATGAGTTAGTGAGATATTATTATTCTTATATTACAAGTGAGGAAATAGACTTAGAGGAGTTAATGTTCCCTGAATTGTACAGCTAGTATAAATTAGAACAGTTTTGGCAGTGGTATACAGCAGAGAAATGGCCTCTCTGATTTGGTGGCTAGAAGCTAGAATATAGCAACATGAGGAGGAGAAGGAGGAAAGTGGGACCCTGGGACCCTGGGACCCAGTGAGGATCTGAAGCAAGAATTGAAGCCCACAGTGAGAGTGAAGAGAGGGACATCAAAACAGAAGAAGGAGGTGGCAAGCGGCACTTTCTCCCTGAGCCCAGGCTCACTGCACAGGAGAGGGAGCTGGAAGCTGCAGATGCAAGGTGACTATCGGTAACTCCAGAAGCCTCCCATGGAGAAACACACCAGTGAAACAGAGCAGTAGACCCAGCAGACTGCAGTGGCTGGTGAGTTATTCCAATTCAGGTGTCCCCCAAGAAAGGGTGATTGGCTAATTGCTAATGTGGAGAGAAGTCAACTGAGCTTGGAACTCAGAGCAGCTGTGGACTGGCTCCATTTAGCAGCTCCCAGTGTGAAGGTGAGGTAGAGATGACTTCAGGTCAAAAGGAGGTAAAGCTGGGAGGAGGCACACAGAGGGTTGCAGGCTGAACAAATTGGGTTCCAGCCTCACAGCCAGAAACCAGCCTGAATTTCAGTGGAAATAAAGATGCAGGCTTGCTGGGATTATCAACTACCCTGCTGTAAATCTACAGCTGGGTTGCTGGGATTAATCAACACTGGCCTGGTTCTGTCTGCCCACTCTGTCTACCAGTGACAGCAGAGACAGGCCTTGAAGTGGATATATTTTTTCTTTTTCTTCTTTTCTTCCTTTTTCTCTTGATTGTTCTTGTTTTTATATTAGTATGAACATTGTTTCTAGTTTTTTTGTTGTTGTCTTTCTGTTCTGTTTTTGTTTTTATTTCTTCCATTTCTCTTGGTGTCCTGTCTCCTTCACCAGTTTCCCAAAGTTCACATAATCTTCCTTTGTCCTCCAGCCTTGCTTCTATTCTCTTTCTCTTCTTCTATTTCTCTATTTTTCCAGCTAATTCCTTTGAAATTTTCTCCTGAGGGTAAAATCACCACATTGAGGGCATATTTACTGTACACAATTTTTTTGTCTGTTTTAGATTTTGTTATACAACCACAAATCTAGTTCATATGGTTAAAAGTAGGAAATTAATAGTTACCACACTTTGTCATTTTCTAGGCTGTGTTTGATGCTATTTTTATTACTACTGATTGTACCACTTTAGCCAAGGTGACATAATTGTTCCAAGGAGTTATTCTTCTTGGTATGCCAAGACTGAGATTCCCTGAGGGTCATAAATAATACTGTAGCTCAGTGCCAAAGAAGCAGGGGCTAGGCCAAATAGGCAACAACTTCTCATCCCAAATAAATTGAAGAGGTAGGATCTAGCAACAGATTCAAAACTCAGAAGCCAGCAAACCCTGGAAGACATCTCTGAGAAGTAGTCATTTCATAAGGGTTTTCAATACTATCAATAAAGCTACCTGCCATAAGCAATTTACAAGCATCAACCCAGGAATTAAACATTACAAAATAGAAAATGAGGACACATGGAAGCAAGATGCAACCCAAGACTTTCAGCTTGCCAAACACAAACCCAGGAGCAATGAGGTGGAATGATTTGAAAGCCACCCTCCTGGATTCTCTGAAAAGGAAACATGGAAGTAACAAAGGAGATGAAAGAAACTCAAGAAAAAAATCATATCAGAAGTAATTTGTCAAATAACAACAAAAATACTGACCATAATGAAGGACATGATTAATGAATCTATAGCAGATACAAAGTTTAGAAAATAGAGGAGCTTAGGAAAATGATGGAAACCATAAACACTTAATATAGGAAGGAAATGGGATCCATGAAATAGATTCAAACAGATATCAAGGAGATTAAAAATTACACTGAAAGGATACACAGCAGAATGAGCCAATGTGAGGACAGAATTTCAGATATAAAAGAGAGGATTGGCAATTGTGAAAAGAAAGTTTTTTTTTTTTTGGGTACCAGGGATCGAACTTGGGACCTTGCACTTGCAAGGCAGGTGCCGGAACCACTGAGCTAAATCCCCAGCCTGAAAAGAAAGATTTTTTAAAAACAGCAGGGGACCATGAAAAATTAATCCAACAGCTGCTAGATGATACAAAGAATAAGACTGATTGGAGTCAATGAAGAAACAGGAGTGCAGATGACACACAAAAAAACTGTTCACAGAAGTGATGGCAGAAAACTTCCCAAGCAGGGGAAAAGAACTTTACATAGAGATAAGTGAGGCATATAGGACTCCAACTAGCCTTGATCAAAAAAAAATCTACACCTAGGCATATAATAGTTAAGATTCCAGAAACTCAAAAGAAGAATAAAATTCTACAAGCAGATAAAGAAACAAATCACATACAAAGGAAAGCCCATCAGGATCACAGCAGACTTCTCAATGCAAACCCTCAAAGCAAGAAGAGCTTGGAGTGATGTATTTCAAGCCCTTGAAGAAAACAACCTCCAGCCCAGACTGATGTACCCCACAAAACTATCTTTCGAAATTGATGGAGACATAAGCTACTTCCATGATAAAGAACTCCTGAAGAAATTCACAACCACCAAACTAACACTCCAAAATGTACTGAAGGACATTCCAGAAAAAGAAAACCAGGACCACAACTCTATAAACCTCAACAGAATGAATCCACTAGGCAAGGAAAGTAATTAAACAGAGGGTAGAAAAAAGGGAACCAACAACAGAAAAATAACATGATAAGTCAATACATCTCAGTTGTAACCATCATTGTAAATGGCCTCAATTCACCAATCAAAAGAAACACATTGGCATAATGAATCAAGAAGCAAGATCCAACAATGTGATGCATACAAGGAACATATTTAATTCAAAAGGAAATTTATAGACTAACAGTAAAAGGATGGAAAACAATACTTCATGCTATAGGAACCTGGAAAAAACCAGGGGTGCTATTCTATTTGCAGACAAAGTACATTTCAAGCCAAGACTGATTAAGAGAGACAAAGAAGGTCACTACATTCTTGTGAAGGCAACAATCTAAGAGGAAGAGATAACAATCATAAATATATATGTACTTTATAA